GTCGGTCGCTTAACCGACTGCGCCACCCAGGCGCCCCTCAAAATCTATTTCTTACGTGTTATGGTTATCACTATAACCTCTCCTCCCACCTTCAGTACAGTTTGTTCTCTGTATTTAAGAACCTCTTTTTGTCCTTTTTACTTTTCCTTTGTTTGTTCCGTTTCTTAAATTCCACATAGAAGGAAATCATAAAATGTACCAGTCGTTCTTGGACTGATTTATCTCACTTAGTGTAATACTCCCGAGCTCCATCCGTGTTTCTCTATGTCACTCAAGCGTGCAACATACAAATGGTTCTAGCAAGGATGAGGGCCTGGCTTCATTAGCAACAGTTGGTGCCGGGCACAAGAATTAGTTGGTATCTATGGGGGTGCCTGGGTGGCTGGTTAGGCATCTGACTTTGGCTCATGATCTCACGGCTCATGGGTTCGAGCCCCACATCGGGCTCTGTGCTGACAGCTCAGAGCCTGGAGCCTGCTTCGGATTCTGTGTCTCCCTCTCTGTCTGTACTCCCCACCTCCACCACAGCCCCCCTCACCCCCCGCCATCTCAAAAATAAATAAACATCAAAAAAAATTTTTTTAATAAATAAACATTTAAAAAAAGGATTAGTTGGTATTTGACCATTAGGTGAAGAATTCCCATTTTCTTTAGCTGCAGAACAGCCCTGAAGTTAGAGGCTTTCCCAAGCTTTTGCCTGAGAATTCCAGGGCATTTTCTTAGGGTAGCAAGTTAGGACCTTGAACTTACACTTTCAGCTGTAATGATCTTGGCAAGGTCATCCTTATTTTGCATCATTAAGTCGTACCATTTCCGAAGTAATGAACTCCTCTCCTGGCCGAGGAAATAAAAACAACAGTCATACAAAATAACCTTCCGTGTCCCCTCACTCTCGGGGAGACACAACTTGACCTTCTTTCTTTTTTGAGGCATAATCCACATATAACGTTATGTTAGTTTCAGGTATACAGACCCCTCTTTGATAAGTAATGAGATTCCATTTCAAGTTGCACATAAAGGCGTGTGCGGAGTCATAAATGGTGAAAGAGAAAAGCAGCTTCTGTGGAACAGTGCAAATATGAACAATTTCACCGCACACAGGTACAGTTTCCTGCTGGCCCTGTGCTCTGCCAGGTGGGAATCTGGTGACTACAGGCCAGCACTTCCTCTGGGTGAGAGAGGAAAGACTGTGTTCTAGGGGGCCTAGCTCGGAGAAAGCAATCAAATATCTGAGTACATGGTCTGCTCAATGTAAAGCACACGCTCTGCCTGAGAGAGAACGAGAGAAGACGGGAAACGGCGTAAGAACTGCAGGAATACAAAGTGGATTCTGCTGGTGGCAGAAAACACAATGTCCAGGCCGAACCCCGGGGGCCAGGGGAGGCGACGAACCATCCTGAGTATGCACAGCCTGGGTTACGGGCTAATGGGTTCCGCCCAAAACAGACATGTTGCAGGGGCGCCTGGGTGACTCAGTCAGTTAAGCATCCAACTTCAGCTCAGGTCATGATTTCATGGTTCGTGAGTTCGAGCCCCGTGCCGGGCTCTGTGCTGACAGCTCAGAGCCTGGAGCCTGCTTCGGATTCTCAGTCTTCCTCTCCCTCTGTCCCTCCCTCACTCTCACTCTGTCTCTCAAAATAAACAAACATTAAAAAGTTAAAAAAAAAAAAAAAAGAAGGAAGCAGCCTTGACTTTGGATTTCTAGCCCGCAGAACTGAGCCAATCTGTTTCTGTTGTTTGAACCATCAGGCTTGTGGGGCAGCTCCCAGAAACTTCCACAGCCTTTGTGAGGAGCTGTGTGAGCATGCAGGGCTCCAGCAGGGAGGCTCACGGTGCACGGAGTCACGTGGGGCACAAGTCCCAGAACGCCCACCTGAGCAGGGGTGAGTGGTGGATGGTGAACTCTGAGCCTCTCGCAGCCAGGTTCCTCATCCAAAACAAGGATTGAGTATCTACCTCATAGAGCCATCAAAAGGACTAGAGGAAGCACCTGTTAAGCACCAAGAACAGTACTCAGATGTGGCAGGCACCGTAACGGCCCTCAGAGACGGCCTCACCCTAATCACTGCAACCTGTCAACCTGTTACCTTACGTGGCAAAAGAGATTTTGCAGGTGTGATTACGTTAAGGACCTCGAGGTGAGGAGGGCAGCCTGCATTTCCCAGGTGGGCCCGATGTAATCACAAGGTCGCTATAAGAGAGAGGCAGGAAGGTCAAAGGCCAAGTAGCAGCAGAAAAAGAGGCTGGAGTGTGGGACTGCCTCAAGAAGCTGGGAAAGGTGACGAAACCCCTAGAGCTTCCAGAAGGAACACAGCCCTGTCCACACATTTTGGACTTCTGACTTCCAGAATAGTAAAGGCATTTGTGTTGTGTGAAGTCACGAAGTTTGTGGTAATTTGTTACAGCGGCCACAGGAAACCAACGCGCCGGCTTATGAGGCGCCTGTAAGTACCCAGCTCCCTTCTCCCCTGAGCTCCTCCAGGAGGTCCCAAGGTGGGAAACGGGAGGTCCTAAAACACATGAAAAGAACGCTGTGAGGCAAAAAAAAATGTCAACAGGAAATGCAAGACCTGTGCTATTGAGAGAAGGGAGAATAGTGAGGCTGTGAGCTCGCTGGGATGGGCCCAACGGCAGAATCAACAGGTGAACTCGACCTCCGCAACGGGTGGGCGGGCGGGATGTGAAGGCCTAGGGAAGAGGGCTGAGGGCGGGGGTGGACGGCACAGGCCTGGGGACAAGAAGGGAGGGTCACGGTGTCCACACAAGCCGTATCGGAGCCCAAGTCTCATAGCTGCAGAGGTGGGCCTGTCTTCCTAGGCAAGGCGGGGCCCCTTACTTCCTCAGGAAAATGCTCTGAGATCCTTCCAAGAAGGAAGGAGAGAAGGCCCGAGCTCCTGGAGGACAAGCTGATGCCACGTGTTCACGTTCAAGGGCACTGACGTCAGGTAGGTGATGCGAACACCCGGGACTGTGTCAGTGAGCGGTCCCGGCACCAGCCCTGGGCTCAAACAACCACCGGAGCAGAGATGGGGGCAGAAGAGCTGCGGACGCCTGCAACACCGCCAGCTCCTGCCCGCCCCCTTCCCCGTCTCAGCTGGTGGTCACTCCTTCCTGCCCCGCTATTCTGGCCAGAGACCCTGGGGTCCCGGCTGACCCCTCTTTCTCTCACACCCTGTCACCGCCAGGGACTCCAGTTACCTGCACGGTCACAACAGACCCTTCCGAGGACCGCCCTGCTTCAAGCCTCAGTCACTGCCACCAGCCCCCTAAGGGGCCTCCACCGCCCCTCCCTCTCGTGCTGTGCCTACAGTACCCTTTCCAAATGCGATCACCTGAGTGCAAACCCTGGCACGGTGCCCCACCTCCCTCAAGGTAAAACCTAGTCCACGCTCCCCTCTGGATCCAGCAGGCCATCCCGTCTCTCCCGCCTCCAGAGCCTCCCCACCCCCTTGCTGCTCTACAAATGGGTCAGGCACGTTCCTGACTTGGGAATCTTGGTCCAGCTGAATTCCCTTCCCCTGCCTTTATCATTGCAGCTCGTGTCCTCTGGGAAGCTACCCTGATGCTCAGGCTGAATTGTGTCTCCCCCTGCTGTGCCCCTGGTATCTCAGAACAGGGTCTTGAAAGAGGTTATCAAGGTTCAACGAGGTCATACAGGTGGGTCTTCACCCAACACGACTAGCGTCTTTACAGGAAGAAGGTAAGGACACGGACAGGTAGAGAGGGAAGGTCGTGTGAAGACGACCACCTGCAGGCCCAGGAGATGCCCGCTAGCGCAGCGCCCTTCCACGCAGGCCGAAACCTGGAGCACGGTCCTGCACCACGCCCGACGACCCAGGCTGAGCCACTTGAGCTCACCTCCCGGCCCCCCGCCCAAGGTCAGGCCCCTCGACCTGCTCACCCCACCCTCGGCTCGCTGCTCATTTCATGTTACTCCTCCGGCTTCTGCCTGCCAGGCTGGACGTTTCCAGAGGCTGGAGGGCGGCGCGTGGCCCCAGCCCCCCGCACCGCGGTCGGGACCACGCCGACGCTCCAAACTTCCCCGTGGCTCGCCTCTGCTCTCCTTTCTATACGACATCGTGCCCGGCGCATCGGGGAGGGGGGAGCGACGCGGCCGGTTTCCCAATGGGGCAAGCCCGGGCCCCCGAGCGCGCTCACCTTGGCCGAGACGCCCCTCCAGCTGCAGAAAGCCTCGTAGGCGGCGCGCACCGCGGCGCGGGTCTCGGGCACCCCGCAGTCGGCCACCAAGCCCAGCTGGGCGCCGCTGGCCGGGTCGTGCACGGGGAAGGCGGCGGCGGCCGGGAGCCAGCGGCCGCCCACGAAGCTCTCGGTGCGCAGCAGCGCCGCGGACAGGCCGGCCGGGCCCCCGGCAGAGCGGCGGGGCTGCGCGGGGCAGCCGGGGCGCAGGCCGCGGCCCGCGGGCGGGAGGCGCG